AGTATAGAGCATGCTTCGGTCGTGCTGCCGTTGCTGTTGCTGCTGCTGCTGATGTGATGATGACGATGATAGTTAGTGAACATGACAGTGGTGCACATACCGCTGATATTGAAGCTTTTTACTACTCACATGTGACTTGGTTGCCGCTCAGCAGATATTGTGCTTTTTGGCAGTTGTTTGTTTTTAGTGTTTCTGTATTGCAGCGATTTGTTGTGACGATATGACTGGCGCGTGTTTGGTTGTTTGGCTTTCTGCGACGAGTGGTGTTTGCATCCAGTTGTTTGGGTTCTTTTCACCAGTCGTCTCTCATGGGCAACGTTCGAGAAACTATTTAGATGTCTTATGTCCCCCTACATGATAACCGCGATATCTTCACCGTGCGTTGTGGGGCGGAGGGAAGGAGGGATTGATTGACCCTCGTCTCGCTTCTCATCTAGCAGTTAAAACTTGTAAGCATGCTACAGTATGACGGCCGACTCAGTGTAAGCTTTGACAACCGTAGTTGCTTTAAACAATGCGTAGTAAAGGACGAACTTTTCACCAGTCCGTCGTCGCCGGTCCTAGGTTCTGCTGTTTAAGATTTATTAGTCTTTGATGATGCGACAGTGATGACCATTAACATGTCATTCCACACGCCAAAAATGTTGGAGTCTGTGACATCTGGCATTTATTCAAATTATCTCCTGAGAGAGATCCTTAGCGCTCGAAATGAGTGTGCTAGCACCGAAAGTTAGGCACAGCGCGTATAACTTATGAAGTCCGGTCAACAGCGCCCTTATTTTCTCATTTAACTTCGTTTGGTATTTTTATCAAGCTGTTTGGTTCTCAGCGGGTTAGGTTGTTGGATTATGGTAAAAATGGGAAAGAAAGGGACAGTTTCAGGATAATGACAGTGAGGAAAATTTGATTTTGATATTCCAACCTCGGTAAGCTATATTTTTCGTACTCAGTCGTTTCTGTTCGTTTGATCTGTAACCTTTTGCTCGATGAGTTCGTCTGGTTGTTGATGAATGCCTTGTCTCTTGAAATGATGATATTTTGACAGACAATGCAAAGTTGTCGTTGTGGTTGTTGTTTCTGGAATGACAAGTGACTCACCGCAAGGAGGCTTGCGACTCTGAATAGGATTTAGAGATTTCGTCTCCCTGAGTTACTGTACTTTCTTACTAACAGTTGTGGTGATCATCGGCATCGCGGTTGGTGTTTAAGTCAAGTGTGTAAATGCGAGATTTTCTGGATGAACATGACTGACATCTGAGAACACTCTTCACGCAAGACAATATTTCTAGAGGATCGCTCAGATACTAAAAATATCACGTATCATCCACTTTTCTCACTTCGACAGTAAGGCAGCAGCGTGGGACTGAGAACGGAAAGGTCGATCAGTGGTCTGGTGCATTGCAGCTGCATTCGTTTTATGAAGCACTCACTCATTGAGATGCGAGTTATAACCGTTGGATTACTGGCCAGGGAGGGCGACAACAAAATAAGAAACAAGTTGTATTTCGGCAGTCCATTGAACGTCCAGCCGAAGTTTACAAAATGCTTTGTTTGTCACCCGCTGAAAGCTTCTAGTGTTCGGCACCAACTTTATTTGTATGGTTCTGCGACCACCCGCGAATGTAGATGAAAGTGAATTAGTAGATCTGCTGATCTTTTCGTTCTAGTAATTTCCAAACAGAGATCGTTGACCGTAGCTGATTTTATCGTCCGGCCCAAATGGTCACCTGAGTAAGCTTGATTAAGATGCTGGCCGAAATTTCAATCAGATCATCAATACAATCTACTAAACATGTTGTACGGTAATGTTTCAAAAACACTTTCTCACGCTTTGCCGTGTTCCCTACGCTTCTTTTCAGTCCAGCCGTCTCCTGCCATCTTGCTGTTTGTCACTTCGTTCCTTGGACTTGGTCGCTCGTAGCTAAAACTCGGCATTGGGTCGTTTCTTTGTCCGTTTTTCTCTCCGTCGGCATGACGTAGGCTTTTGCTGCTTGTGTGCTGGCCGTTCAGTTCGAATGGTTGCCTCAGAACGTTCTTTTCTTTCCAGCGCGACTGCGTTATAAAACTCTTCGGCCGTCTTCGGCAACTCCGAGTGATTCGATGGCATTAGACAATTTAAGCCGGGAAAAGTGGAAGGCTTACAGTTAAGCGTTTTTAATCAATTTTCCCATATAAGCTGCATTTTGTGTTAATAAGCATAGTTGTGCTGATTGGCCAAATCCTCGCACTGCGAATTCTTTAAAAAGATTTATGAATGCACTGTCCAATCACGGCTGAACATCACTTCACACTATTTATGCGATAGAATAGTTACTTACTCCTGATGAAGTCTGGTCTCTTTCGAATGTTTATTTTCTGACTCTCTGCTGGCCGCTAAGTCGTTTTCTTAGCCATAGAAGACCGGCAAGCTAATGTAAACCTGATAGCGTAAAGTAGCATAAAATTAAGAACATAATGCAGATCAGTTAGCCACTCATTGCTTAAGTATCCCTAATTGTTTTTTGTTGCAGAAGGTGGCAGAGAATTTCCGGCTGGACCGCATGTTCCGGCGATAATTGCTAAGCGTCGTGAAGGTAAGCTTGTTTTACGTATGTATATTCCCTATATGTCATAAACCTTTTTGCACGGTTAACACAATCCGTGGACCACTCTTGACGTCCCTAGAGATTAAGCTACTGCATGAAAAACGGTACATGGAGTACGCTTCAACCACACAATTACGGTATTAAGGACAGCGTGATATGTACTTCGAAACGTCTGATTAATAGGGAAACTGAAACCAGGCTTAGCAGAGTTCCAGAGACCTTTAAAGACATTTACGTTTGTCGAAAAAAGATGATATGCCGTTACATTTATAAATTTTGTTTTCATTCTATATATTTTATTAAATTTGCTACTACTATTTTTTGTAGAAGTAGCGCCGCCTCGCCCGCCTCCTCCTTTGGAGGTTAGAACCTCTCCGAGACTGCCGCCTCCACCTCAGGAAACCGATGATGAAGAGGAGATGCGCGCATTTTGGGAGCGTGTGCCATTGCCCAAAGCAAATCAGCCCATATTAGTAATTTTGTTTTTTGACTATGTTGTCTGTGACGTTATGCTAAT